ATCCAGTACTTTGCACCCGGTACTTTGAATCCAGTAGTTTGCACCTGGTACTTTGAATCCAGTACTTTGCACCCGGTACTTTGAATCCAGTAGTTTGCACCTGGTACTTTGAATCCAGTAGTTTGCACCTGGTACTTTGAATCCAGTACTTTGCACCTGGTACTTTGAATCCAGTACTTTGCACCCACATGCTGTCACACAGTATTATATTTTTACTTCAGTCTTGAGCGGTATCGACCCAGATGAACAAGCCCAGCTCCATGTTTATTTTTAAACTGGTTGTAGTGTTTAGCTTCAGCCAGACGTCGGATCTCAGATTAAAAGTCTGCTCTGGATGTCGACCCGCCATGATGTCACTCTGCTAAATGAAGACATGAATTATTAATGCGTCCATCAAGAGGAGGACACCACTCCAGACCCTGCTGTCTGTTCTCCTCCAGCAGGAGACGTTAGCTGCAGCTGCTAACGATCACCGTTATCTTCCTAAAGGAATCATTGGCAAATTACCACAGACCTTTTTATTTCATTTGCCTGTTAGCAAAATATCTCACGAACCACCAGATGGACCTTAATGAAACTCTCAGGAAGTAAATATTACCGGTAGGTTTATGTCTACAACTCGGTTCAAGATGGCTGCCACAGCTAATTAAACTTATCAAACACAAACAATTTTGAGTCTGATTTATAAAGCTAAATTTAATAAAACAAGTGCTAAAATCAGCAAACATGTAGCTAAAACTAACAACAAATGACCGAAATAGATGCAAAAACTAACAAACTGCAAAAGCTAAAACAAGATGTTTCTATTTACAAACCTGTAGCTAAAAGTAGCAGAACAAATTCTAAAGCTAATATTAGCAAAACAGATGCTGAAGCTAAAACTAGCAAAACAAATGCTACTAATGTTTTTAAAAGTAGTAAAACAAATCTTGCTGTTAGCAAACCTGAAGCTAAAAGTAGCAGAACACATGCTTAATCTGAAAATGACCAAAATAGATGCTAAGGTTATCTAGCTGCTAAAGCAAAAACCAAATGTTCCTTTTAGCAAAACTGTTGCTAAAAGTAGCAGAACAAATTCTAAAGATATTATTTAAACAGATACTGAAATGAAACCTAGCAAAACAGATGCTACAATGTTTCTAAATTAGCCAAACAAATCTTGATATTATCAGACCTGAAGCTAAAAGTAGCAGAGCAGATGCTAAAGCTAAAAATGACAGAAACAGATGCTAAAACTGACRAACTGCTAAAGCTAAAACAAGATGTTTCTATTTGCAAACCGGTAGCTAAAAACAGCAGAACARATTCTAAAGCTAATATTATCAAAACAGATGCTGAAGCTAAACCTAGGTTAAAAAATGTTGCTAATGTTTCTAAAAGTGCAGATATTGAGCTAAAATCTGGTGTGGTAGTAGCTGAGATTCCTCCTTAACATATACTTTGAGTGCTAACAAGTCATGTCAGTAAATCACATAATGTTATCAAGATATAAATCTTTAAATCTAAGTTTGTTTGTAATTAAATGAATGAAAACTGTCATTAGGTTTATTTATCTTCCAGAGGCTGGGAGGAGATTTCAGCTGAGTGGTTCTGAGGTTGTACCTAATGACCCGGCCTGGTTGGCGCCCAGAGGAGCGTCCGCCTCGTGTTTTATGCTGAACGTTAGCGAAAGAGGCGTCTGTGCTGCGGGTGTCGGCTGTGTGGTGACTCAGCTGCGACGCCTCGCCTCACCGGGCCGGCGCCGAGGCTGGGGTGATGATGTGACACCGCAGCCGACGCTGTTCGCAGCTCAACGGGAACTTTGGTCTCTTCTTCTCCAGTCTCCTAACGCCTGCAGATTAAGTCGAACATGAGGTTGGAAGAGGCATTCTGGGTAAACGATGTTTACTAGGTGCTCTGTAAGCTAATATCTGTTGTGGTAGTAGCTGAAGGTCATCCTCATTAGCTGCACTGACAGCTAACAGGCGGTGTGAGAGCTTTGTCAACATGTAGGACGGCGGGTGACATGTTTTCCTTTAAAGTGCCTGTGACGTCAGTTTTTGGTGATAAATGTGATTGCATTTATGGAAAGACAACACTGAATACATGTTGCAAAAGCAATTTCACACCACTGAGATGAACAGTTGTTGAGATATTTGCATGTGAAGTAACAGGAAGTGATGTCAAAGGGGAATGTCGGCCTGTAAACAGAGCGTTGCTACAATGGCTAACAACACAGACAGCAGGGGATTTTCTGTTTCTTTAGATTATTTTAGTCTCTATGTAAGAGATGAAAAAAGTAAATACTGTTTTAATAAACAAAGACCAGGACGTTTTGTAAAGAGTTCCCCTTTGATGTCACTTCCTGTTTCATTTTAGCTGAGCCAAATTGAAAGGAAATGATGCCAGTTATGTGACAAAATGGGTTAAATCGGGTGTTTTACACCAAATTTCCTAAATATGCAGATATTTTCTTTGACTTTTTGTGTAAGGATAGGCATGTCACAGGCGCTTTAAGTATACCCTGCCAGCAAGTGACAAAAACACAACTGCTCAGTTAGGCTAGCTGGGTAGCTAACATTAGCTTGAAAAAATCATTAGTATTTCTAATTAGCCATGTTATTGACGAAGCAAGCACCTGTGACATAGGGGTGTAAGAAAATATCGATACACTGAAATATCGCGATATTTCATTTCCCGATACTGTATCGATATTCTAAAGCCCTGTATCGATTTTT